ACATATATACTTTATTATGGTATAGTATTTAAATATATGCCTGAGAAACACATAATATTGCCCCTTTAAAAAATTTATGATTGGCATGCGGTTTATTGGGAAGGTCTTTTGGCTTTCATTGTATTTATTTTAACCACCATTGCTCTAAAATCAGTTAAATGCCAAAAATCRGCAAAAATCAGTCACAAAACCTCCAACAGATCACCTTTACTAAAGTATTTGCTGGTTTGTATTCTGTTTTAATTACCTAGCTTTGAGAAGAAAGGTAGAAAACATGAACATTGGATAAATATTTCACCAACAACCTCCATGCGGAACACAATATCTGCCAATTTTCCACGCAAAYCTTTTAATATATATTTTTTCTGCATTTCAGAATCACAATACTTTTGCTGCTGTTTTGATTTTTTTCTTTTTTTTTTCAGAAGCAGATGTGGTCGGGCTGTTCAGGATCTGGAGACTATGTGGAGCTGCTGGGAGGAAACGGGGTGGACACATCAAAGATGTTTCCTGTWGCTGACCTCTGTTTTTCCTCCAGTGGTCTCGGTAAGTTTCTRTCTATTCTGCTTTTAATCACAGTTTAATGCACAGTGTGGTATATTYTGTGCTGTGTAACCAATGTTTTCTATTCAATATGAATAAAACAGTGACTGTATTGGAATTATGTAGCTCAGTAGAGGGTCCATAAGTGGGATCACAGCAGAGGTCAGCAGGGTCCTGAGCCATGCTGGATACAAACCTACATCATAAAGTACGCATACTGTAAAACTGTATGTGTGATTACATAATTATAAATGTGCACACAAACACAACTTGAGTGCAAGCGAAAAGGAAAGCAAAAAATGAGTAAGGCCGATGAAAAGTAGTGTCTATTTGTTGAAGTGAAATAAGGTTCAGCGTGATGAAAATCTACAACTGAATCTGTTACACATTTTCACAGATCAAACATCAATGAAGATTTTTACCATCAAATATTCAGCAGGAGATAAAATGAGGCATCTGTTTTCAACCAATCAGAAGAAGCGAGCAGAACCAGAATGTTTGGATAGATTTTATAAGAATCAAATTTGTTGAAAAACCAACAAAACAGTGTTTTTTTTCTTTTTCTTTTGTGTCAGTTATTGAGGATTTTTAGATGAGTTAAAAAAGACCAATATTTAGATGTTTTTAGTCAGGAAAGTAATGCTTTGRTTAAATTTGGAACATATTTGGATGTATTTTCACTGACTTACTGGATCTGAATCTGTTATCTGTACACCAATCATCACAATAACAATCATAATTCAAACTGAAACAAACTGAGAACAGTGTTCCAGTGTAAATTATTTGGTTCTGTGTGTTTTTTTCTCGTGACTYTTCAGCTCAGATGAAAATTGGATGTGACAACTCGGTGGTGAGGCTGGTGTCCAGTGGGAACTACATTAACCGTGTCACCTTCCAGTATCGACTACTGGAGCAACACGAGCTTCCCAAAACCCGAGAAAACAGTCTGGACAACTTCTGCACTGTGGAGTGACACACACACACACACACACACACACACACACACACACACACACACACACACACACACACACAC